CACCAGCAACTAAAGCAGGGAGTAGGCAGTCTGAGACACAGTCCAAGGTCTCTAGCGACCAAGGGAGCCTGAGCAAGAAACAGCAGTAAACAGCAGGGACTTCCATGACAGGTCCACTCACATCTCCCCGCCCCCCGAGGGGAGCGCAGGTGACCTAGAAAAGGCAGCAGCCCAGGTCCCCACGTCCCCCCTGAACCACGGAGGACAGACCTGACCTTGTTCACAACACTCTAACCAGGCTGAGGGCTGCCTGAGTAACTGGTGGCAACCGTCTCGCCTGGACCAGACTCCAGGGGGCGCACTGATCATGAAAGCTGCACCAAGACCAGAGACTGCCAGACACCTGGGGCCAGAGACTGGGGGGCCATATGACACACAGTCTGAGGTGCAAAGAGAAACTGAGGTGAGAATCTTTGCAAAATTAAGACATTCAAAATCAGCTATGTGTATGTGAAATTTAAAAATCCACACACCAGCCCAGGAAAGTCTCACATTCAGAAAACACATGAAAATAAACCTTTCACTTCAGGTTGATACGAAGGCTTTGAACATGTGCAGTTTTTTAGTGAAGTTCTTCCTCACCCATCTGCAAAATCTAGTAATGGTGGCTGTTTTTAAAAATGCTGATTTTTTTTTTAAAATGTTTTATTGATTTTTAGAGAGAGAGGAAAGAAGGGGGAGGGAGAGAGAGAAACATTAATGAGAGAGAGAAACATCAATGGGCTGCCTCCTATGCACCCCCTACTAGGGATCGAGCTCACAACCTGGACATGTGACCTGAGCCGGAATCAAACTAGTGAACTCTTGGTGTATGGGAGGGTGCTCAATCCACTGAGCCACAATGGCTGGACAAAATGCTCAATTTTCATTAAAAAAAAAAAAAAAAAAAAAAAAGGTAAGCAATAGAAAAATATGGCCCATTCAAAAAAATAAATCTCCAGAAACTGTCCCTACGGAAACACAGGTATCAGATGTACTAGACATTTAAAACAACTGTGTTCAATATGCTCAAAGAACTAAAGGGAAACACACAGAGAACTAGAGGAAATAAGAAAAACAGTGTGTGAACAAAACAAGAATATTAACAAAAAGACAGAAATTATAAAAAGGTACCCTCAGAAATTCTGGAACTAACCAAAAAAAAATTAATAGCTGAATTGAAAAATTCGCTAGAGGAGTTCAACAGCATGTTTGAGCAGGGAGTAAAAATAATCGGTGAACCTGAAGACTGAACATTTCAAATTAACAAGTTTAAGGGGCAGAAAGAAAAAAGAAGAAAGTAAACTGAACCTAAAGTACTTGTGGGACACTATCAAGTGGACCAATATCACATAAAGTGAATCTCAGAAGGAAAAAGGAACAAATGGCAAAAGATTATTTGAAGAATTAACGGCAAATAAATACCCAAACTGCTGGCCAGTGTGGCTCAGTAGATTGAGTGTCGTCCCTTGAACTGAGAGGTCCTGGTTTGATTCCTGGTCAGGGCACATATGCCCGGGTTATGGGCTTGAACCCCAGTAGGGGGCATGCAGGAGGCAACTAGTCAATGTTTCTCTCTCTTCCTCCTCCTCTCTCTAAAAAAAAAAAAAAATCAATAAAAACAATTTTTTTTAAAACACTCAAATTTGACAAGACTTGAATCTACTAATCCAAAAGGTTCAACTAGAATACACCCAGAGAGACACACTCCAAAGCACAAATCCACCTTGTGAAAGGCAAAGACAAGGAGAGGGTCTCACATATGAGGGACCTCAGGGAGAGCACAGCAGATTCCTCAGGCCTGAGGGGTACAGGTAGGATGTGACCACCAAAGGGAAACGTGAGGGTCTGGTGTGATCCTGTGTCCTCTTCTGGGTCCTGCCTATGGTGCTGGCTAAGCAAGTCTTTGCATGCGCTGTAACTCACAGAACAGTTTTCCAAATAAACAGCTTCACTCCACAATTTTAAAAATTAAAAAAACTTTGAAAAGCTGGTCATGTCAGTGTTACATGACAAAAATGCAAGGTGTGAGTACAAAGGGTAGGACATGCTCTCTGAAGTCATCTTCTGCAGAGCTGCCTCCTCTGCATCCTTTTGTTGTTGGTGTTAAATCCACTTTGTCCTTCTGACTACTTTCTCAACATGCGATGCCCTCCCTCTCCCTCTACCTTCCCAACTGCCCGTCAACAGTGAGGAAGTATGTGTAACTTGTTATATTTCTTCTGATTTATGAAAAACAAAGTTATCTTTTCTTAGTAAATGTCAAGTACAACAATATGCCTAAATATTTTCTTCAATTATTATAAATTATTATAAAACTGTGTGAACTAAACAATGTCTTAGGATTAATTTCTCATAATAGGTTCTCAAACATAATTTATATGTATATATTCTGAAAATTATCTTAGATAAACATTGATCCCAAAAGTCATTATGTTTGGTCATTCCCAAAACCATATTTAACATTGGAAAGTGATTTACCAAAACATTTCCTGTATTCTAGAGCTCTATTCTATTAAAAGTATTCTCCCATTAATATATTGTCACAATTGATTCTAAAGATTTTGCTGAAATATCCATATAAAAATCAAAATAGAAACCTTGAACAGACTATGAACTGATTTTGTATCAGCAGAGTTACCGCAGTAAATAAAAACTTCCCCATTAAGAAAGGTCTTTAAAGAAGAATTATGCCCATTCCCTCTCCTATAAGGCATGTACGTGACTTATTTTAATGTAGCAATGCCAAAGGAATTATCATTGCCAGAAATTATATGCAGGCCTAACAATAAGATTCTGATTAGTGTCACAAAAGATCAAAATGTGCATCAGTTATAAACTTATACAAGTTGATCTGCAATTAGAGTCTCCAAATATAGATCCCAGAATTTCACTGAGTAAATGAGTTCTCTAACTAGTACCTACTCATGTATAAGTGAAATCATTTCAGCATTAGAAAACTTAGGGGTTTTCTATCTATATGACCTCACTTATGTAGAAGGATCCTCAAAAATTCATTCTCAAATACACATGTAACTGGAGGTTAAAAGCAGGGGGGTGGTATTGCACCAGCGTAAGCATGCTATCACAGAAATAAGAGCATGATTAATAAACCTGATTTTAAAATGCAACGAGGGCCCTGGTCAGTTTGGCTCAGTGGTTAGAGCATCAGCTGGCTCACGGACAGATCTCGGGTTCGATTTCTGGTCGAGGGCACAGACCTGGGTTGTGGGTTTGATCCCCAGCTCCGGCTGGGGTTGTGCAGGAGGCACCCAATTGATGTGTCTCTCACGTCCGTGTTTCTTTCTCTCCCTCCCTCTCACTCTGTCTAAAAATCAATGGGAAAATATCCTTGGGTGAGGATTAACAAAATTAATAAATAGATATAATGCAACTAGGCTAGGACCCAATCCAGCCTGTCCAAGTACAAAATGTGTGTGGATGTGCAGTACAACAAAGAGCACCACAGGCGAGCAGACCACAGAACTAGGCACGGGAGGCGAAGGCCCCGCACGCGGGCAGGGGTGCGTCTCAGGCAGCACCTGTCCACACTGGCCTCTTCTCCTGTGAGATGAAATATCACTGTTCCAACCAACAAAACATGTTTAAGGGTTGTTTGTACTTCTGCAAACAGGTATTTCTCATAGTTCAGTAAGCAGAAAATAAACTGCTCTGTGTACTGAAGTATTTAAAAGCAAGCGTAAGTCAATAAAAGTACATACAACAAACCAATTATGAAATATAAGATGCCTCCAATTCTATGTCTTCCCAACTCCCATCTACAAAGCCACACGTAATGACATCACACAGCGCAGCCTCCAGAACCACGCGGTACGGCTGCCGTCATCCGGCCCACCTGCTCACAGGCGGCTCTCCTCCGCCCGCCTCCAGTCAGCAGAATCAGACAGCCTGGCCTAGTGAGTCATGCGAGGTGCTCTGAGCAGCAGCAGCCCGCCAGCGGGCACCTGAGACCCGACGCGCGCCTACCAGGGAAGCGTGTGTGATGGTACGTACGTCCTCTCCGGTGCTGGACCAGGCCCACAGCCTGCTTCGCGGAGCACTTTGCAAACCAGTTGTCCCCAAGTAAAACAGTGACTTCATTGGTGTGGACGAGTTTTCCAGGCATGAAGGCAAAGGGGCCGAATGGCACCTATTTGAAAAATAACAACAGCAGCATTGAGAATCCTGAAAAATACACTTTATGAAACAGCATTAAAAGTTCTGTGTTGAGGTCTTTTATCTGTACACCAAGGAAAATAAAATTTCAACTTCCCAGAAATGTAAGATTATAGTAAAGATTCGCTAGGAAAACCTATAGGAAATCCTTCTAGGTGAATAAATCAACACCAGGGGAAAGACAGCACGTTTACATGTGGCTTTCAGAGAAACTAGCATTGTCTCTGAATGTTTATACTTTCTTCACTCATAAATCTAAACGAGAGCAAACTTGTAACACAGTATGAGTTAATAAATACCTTTGATTAAAAAACTAAAAATTCTTTCCATTAAAATAGCAATTTCCTTTTACAAAGCAGAAACAAATAAACAGCTGTAACGAATCTACAGAATGTATAAAATATTTAGCTGCTGTAACAGACAACACACAACGTTTTGGGCGGGATAACCAAGAACAAAGTCCCGTGGGAAGGACACTCGTGCCCTGAAAGAATCGAATCCAGGGTCCTGAGTAGATGACAATGCGACGGGAAGACCGTTCGAACGGAAATGCGCAGCACCTTTTCATACGTGTAGTGTCCTAGGGTTTAACTATGAGGACACGACACCCTGGGCTGTCCCCACTCTGGCTTGCAGGAAGCGACAGCGCCGTATTTCTGTCATAACTGCAGTTTTCTAACCTAGTAAATCTGTATACCAAATGTCAAACTTTGTGCTAACATTTATGTCACCATAATGTGATAATTTAATATAAGTCTGAAAAAAAAGGGAAAGAAGTTAAGACCCACTATTACTATAATTGGTGTGTTATTATAAAGTCAAACGAAGCAAACCTCCCTTGCTCTGCTAGCTGCCTCTGACACGGGCCACCTTTTACCACTCGACACGGCAGTATCCATGCAAGAACCACCGCTCCTCTAGAGACGCACACCGCAGACCTACCATGATGTTGTAAGACAGCCTGTCAGGCAGCACACTGAGTCTTTCCTGAAGGGCACTGTAGTCGTCATCCACCTTCTGCCTGTTGACAAAAAATACCAAATACTAAATAAATACACAAAATAATTCCTCAGGCAGGCTATGTATCATAATACAAGCTAATCAAAAACCTAATATTAAAACAATTTATAGATTCAAGTATTTTTTAATTTAAAAAGCCCGTTTTCACAAGTGTGCAATGGCAGACTCCCACCGTGCACGTGACAGAGCGAAGCCCGGGACTTGTCTCCAGAGGAAGCACACTCAAGCTTGAGAATTCCTGTTTCCTGAGACGGAGGATCGTCTGAACTAGACAAAACGTGGAAACTGAGGGAAAGAGTGAAGGAGGCCTGATGTTCACAGGGAAACAGAAACTCAAGAGAAAGGAGGGAGAGAGCTGATGAAGTTTTGAGCGAATCAACACTGCTGCAGAGTAGAGACCATGAACAAAATCTGACCAGGTGCTTTGATCCTCAGAAAGCTTGAGGCTCAGAAGTGGAGTGTCATCAACCCTTCTTGTATTCACACTAATGTGATCAGGTGAGAGAGTCTACCAGGGGCTCGAAGAAATCAGAAGTAACAAAAGGCTTTCGATTTGGCTGTGGAACCTGTTTCATGTCCTATCAAAACAGAGCTACCTAACTAATTGCAAACAGCCAAAGATGTGACTGCAGGAGCAGAGACGGTCCGTCCTCTCCACACTGCGAACCCTGCTCAGCTCCTACACCTGCTGGACCGAGGCCCGTTCGCAACCTTCTCCGGAGATTAGGTTTCCTAAGGGTTCCCTGCTAGGGTGTCAGCTGCAGGCAAAACCAGGGCACTGACATTTTTGAAAGCAGAAGGATTCTGTCGATTTTTAACCTGTTAACTGGGGAATAACCAAGGGATTCCTTTTTCACTGTATGCAACGTTTAACGTATTTATACTTCCCGCTCGGTTAACAGGTTAAAAATAACAAAACTCACCAATTCAGCAAGTGATTGAAAAGAACAGGTAGATACTGTCAAGCTGACATCGGGGTAGATGGCAACACGGGTACCTCTCTCCGGATGGTAAACAGGACTGACTACACTCACCACGGGGCTGGTTTCACTTAACCCCTGGCCTCCCCTGCAGCCACAGCAGCATAGTTAATAAGATTATCTTTCCGTCTAAAGAATATGAAGAAATTTCACATACATGTTATTCATCCTAAAAATATTCCTTACCAGCAACACAAAAATAGCACACGTCTAAGAGAGACCGACCTCATCTCTCAGGACCTTCGGAAGGAGCCTAGCTAAGCCGGTCCAGGGCTCTGGCCCGAGCCGGTGTGGGCGGTCAGTGGGACAGTCAGTGTCACGAAGAACTGATTTAGCACAATGCTTGCACACAGTAGACTCATCACTGCATCTACTAGACACTAACAGTTATATGTTTTTAAATAAGAAATTTTGCAAATGCTCAAGGACTATCCATCAGCTTAGATGTCTAAATGTCCCTATGACTGTTAAAAAGCTAGTATTAAAGTTAGCATTCAATATATCTTATTTTGGTAAACACACCTGGGAAAAGGGGACTTCACAAAACGTCTCTCTGTATATTAAAAGAACATTAGCTTCGCCCTGGCCAGTTTGGCTCAGCAGTTAGAGCACTGGCCTGCAGACCAAAGGGTCGTGGGTTCGATTCCTGGTCAAGGACACATACCTGCACTGCAGGTTCGATCACTGGCCCCGGCCGGGGTCTTGAAGAAGGCAACCAATTGCTGTGTCTCTCACAACGATGGCTCTCTCTCTCCCCCCTCCCGCTCTATCTGAAAGGTGACCAGCAGCAGCACAGCCCCGCCCAGAGTGCAGAGAGCGGTGTCGGCCCAGACCAGTGCGTTCGGTCTAAAGCTGCCAGTAATCTCTCTGGACAGAATGCGAACATGCGGGAGGGAGGACAGTTTAAGACTGGAAATGTGGTTTCTAAGTTGTGATTGTTTCTTAAATGTAACCATTTAAGCGCCGCCACAGAAACCCCTTCCAGGGCGGAAGCGGGGCGGGAGAAGCCCTGGCTGGGGAGCTCGCTCTGACGGTCCCCCTGGAGAAACACCAAGGTCAAGCACTTGGCCAGAGCCCCTCCAAACAGCCTCCCCACTTCTCAGGCTCCCCTAACCTGCGCAAGATCACGCTAAGGACGAGTTACAGAAAGTCAGCGGGGCATCTTTCATTTGTGCCAAAATTTGAGCGGTTTTTTTCTACCTTACTACTTAGAAACATTTGGGGACACTGTAGTCGTATTTAAATGTGTAGTCAAAAAAGGCAAACACTTAAAAAAAATGTTTTTTTCAAGTGAAAAATAAAACCCAGCAAGGGGAGGTAACGCTCTCGAGCCTGCGCGTACTCGACAGGCCTCCTTGACCGGCTTCACCGTGATCTGACCCTCAGAGATGAGGGTCAGCCTTCAAGTCTTGATTTTAACAGGTTGTCCAATCAGTAAGGTTTAATTTGCAAGAGCTACCCTCCGGCAACAGTCCTCATGGAAATAAGAACGAGAGCCCTGCTGTCGGGCGTGTCAGGAACTTCTACAGTCTGGCTGACCACACGCAGAGGCCTTCTGAGGAGCACCTTTTGTCTCAAAAACAGGCAGCAAAGGCCTAAATCTGAAGGATGGAAATCAGGGTAGGTCCATGGGAAGCACCTTATTTTCATGAAGTTGTAAAAAGTATGAGACAGATAAGTTAAATGATGTGGATGTTTACAGAAGTATACTGGTGTCCACACTTAATGTGAAATGCAGCAGAAAATACAGATTGATGGGCTGAGGTGTGGACACACACATCTGTGATCGGGATTCACCGATACAAATCCTTCAAACTTTTCTGTATGTTTGAAGATTTTCATAAGAGTATAGAAAAGGAGATGGAGATATGAGATGGACTCTATATGCTTAACCCTCTTCTTAAATTCAATTGACAAAAAAAAAAAATCTTTGTAAGGGAAAAAGTTCTATAGTCTTTGAAGCAAGTGATAGACTCCAAGTTCCTTTAAATAATAAAAATAAATAGTTATAAAAAATAAAAGTTCTGTCCGGCCGCTGTGGCTCAGTGATTGAGCGTTGACCCTGCAGCAAGAGGTCGCCGGTTCGATTCCCAGTCAGGGCACGTGCCCAGGTTGTGGGCCCATCCCCAATGGGGGCCTGGGGGAGGCGGCCAGTCGATGTTCTCTCTCATCCATGTTTCTACCTCTCCCTCTCACTTCCTCTCTCTCTGAAATCAGTAATGGGAAAAAAAATTTTTTTAATAAAAGTTCCCTTAAATAATAAAAAGGAAAAGTTAAAACATAAATTGAAGTAAGATCTTGCTAATTCTCACTTAAAGCAGGGAGCGGAGACAGGTGGGGTGCCCAGAGCACCCACATGCTCGCCATCGCCCAGCCTAGGCGAGGACCACCCCTGGTCCCAGCTCCACCACTGCATTTCAAGGGTGTCCTGACCTCTCCCCCAACCTCCACCCGTCCTGAAGTGAATCCAACCAAACCATTCCACTTGGAAATACTTCAGTATATAGCTTTAAGATATAAAAGGGCTCTATTAACTTTTTAAAAAGTAGGCAGTATATTGAAATAGTTCAGAATTTAAGTTCAACTCAGTGGCAGTTTCTCTCCTCCCTTTATCCCCAATTCTTGGCTGTCTTCTTTGTAAACGACTGTTTTTTACCAGTTTCTTGCAAGTCTTTCCAGATACTGTGTGCATAAGGGGTGTGCACACGTGTGTATGTACAAATATGCGGGTGCGTACTCATCCACGTTGTATATATTATGCTCCCAGGAAATCAGACCGGACGCTTTCTTCAGGAACTTGGAGCGTGCTCTCGGCCACCGACGATCACTGTCTATTTCAAGACCCACTGCCCCGCTGGGTCCCCTTGTTTGTAAAGCCCCAGCGTGAAGCTGTGACAAGGCTGCTCTCCTCCTGACGAAAGAAGGTGAAGGCAGGGGTGCAAAAGGCCTCTTTTCAAAGCCGCAGCAGGTTTTGTTTGTTTGTTTTTCTTTATTCACCTGACAAACATTTCAAACCAGATTTCAGAGCTAATATTAGTATTTACTGCGTGCTGTCTGGGTGCTCACCCTACAGACACTGTCTCACTTGATCTTCAAGTGAAGTAGTATCATCATCACTTTATAAGGAGAAAGCTGAGAATCTTAGTATCCACTCAAGTTTCAAAGTTAGAAAATGACAGGATTCGAATGCAGGTCTGTGACTCCAAACCCCGAGTTCTTTGGGAAACAATTAAAAAGATAAAGAACCACCAATTATCCGCAAACAGATAATCAGCGCCTGGTGGATCAAACAGTGGGAAGCATATCCACATTCTATGAAAAATGGGGTGTGAACTTTATACCTTACTTCCTGAGTTAAGTAAGAAGGATTGTAAGAAGAAATAAAAAAGGTGCATTAAAAAAATTTTAATGCCCTGGCCGGTTTGGCTCAGTGGTTGGAGCACTGGCCTGTGGAAAGGTTTCGGGTTCGATTCCAGTCAAGGGCACCTGCCTCGGTTACGGGTTCAGTCCGTGGCCCTGGTTGGGGGTCATGTGGGAGGCAACCAGTCAATGTGTCTCTCTCATATCAATGTTTCTCTCTTTCTTACTCTCTCTCCCTCCCTCCCTCCCTCCTTCCCACTCTATCTGAAGATAAATGGAAAAATATCCTCGGGTGAGGATTTAAAAGAAAAAAAAATGTTTTTAATCTTCACTAAATTGAAAACTACTATTAGCTCTAAAAATGTTGTACAAATTTTCAACTATTGGGCTCAAACATTTCCTTTTTATCTGTTATTCATTAAACAAATACTATAAATGTCTTTAGTTCACCAAAGTTCTGGGATTTTAATTAATTTTCTGGAACAAATTTGGGAGACAGATCCCACTGCCTTGGGCCATCTTTGCTTCTACTTTTCTACAAATATTTTTACTTGTGGTCCCACTTTATTTCTATTCTGATTATCTCTGAAGCCTCGAATACTCACGACTTGCCCCTACAGGAAGAACCCTCTGAGAGCGCACAGACCAGCACGGACGGCGGACCGTGCTGCCGGCCAGACCGCGCTTCCTCTCGCTCGGTGCCGGCTGCAAGGCTGACCCCGGCTCAGGGAGAAGGAAGAGCCGTCCCAGCCTCAGGGGGCTTCCTGTTTCTCTGCAAACAGCACAAAACGGCTGTGAGCCCTGCTCAGGGTTGGACTAGGAGCCCCTCCAGGGCAGGGCCCCTCAACCCCAACAGCAGCACGAACTGGCCTGTGGAGGAGCTGTCCCCGTGTGGGGTTCAGGGAGTAACAGTATCGGGAGGTTCCACAAGGCTCCCAAAGAGCAACCCTGGCTTTCAGAAGAACAGAAACGCTTTGGTTTCCGGTTTTTCACATAAAAAATTAGTGACTTCACTGGCCATTTAGGTTCTAGCAATATCAGATCCTCATTGAAAAACAGACAGGAAAGTCTGTTTCCTGAGCCATGTTAGAAGTGCTTCAGAGGAAAAAGCAAATTTTAAGTGGAAACATTATTTTGGTTTTTAGTGCACAGATGAGGTGCCCTCTCACTTTAAGACGTGCGGAGGGAAACACACCGAGCTTCTAGTCTGGAGCGCTTTGTCAGCGTGGAGACGGGACTGAGACCCGTGAACCTGCCCTGAGCAGACGCCACACTCAGACCGTCTGTCCCACCTGACTGGGCACTGTGGCAGGACCTGTCGGCCGCGGCCCTGTGTACTAAGTAAGCGTGCACCTGGCCTTCAGGCACCCAGTCACTCGCCACGTCCTGCAATGTGCCCCAAGGAGCACGACTGAGGAGCACGCCCCGCCCTAGAGAGCTCTCCCAGTAAGGGGACAGACTCCCACAAGGCTGAAGCAGCTGTTGTTCACACACTGGTGTCAATTAGTATCTGTTCTCACGGAATCCAACCCTTTGCTACTTTCCTGATTTCCTTACAAACCCAACACAGACAGAAGCCAACATTAACAAACTTACTCTAGGAATCATTAGTAAAACGGTTCACTTTGATCAAATTAGCAGAGGTGGGGGGAGGTGGGGTCCTTGGCTCGCGCTCCTGGACGAACTATGATGAAGCGCACAGTCCGTTACGGGAACGCTGAGACCTACACCGCTGTGGCTGCAACTGCAACAGTGCACTTATTGGAAATTAATGAAGTCACTGAATGTTTAGTTGCAAAGCGGAGATGGAGTCTCAGATGACTTTCCTGGGAACAGCAGTCGAATGCAGTGCGGTGTGCGTGCAGACCACACGGACTCCTGCTCCCCCAGCCTGCAGCCCATGTGCTCGTGAACCAGAAACATTTGACACACACTAACTGGAAATGATTTCCCTGCAGATCTCTCGGGCAGGAGGAAGAAGCCCCTTGAAATACGTGGGAAACACGCTGGCCGTGCTGGTGTCTGGGCTCAGGCTCAGCCTCAGCACTGAGGGCAGACGCAGTGCTCCTGCCGCAGCCCCGCAGACACAGGCAGGGCAGCCGGCCGCCCTCAGTGCCGGGCCCTGCACAGCGGTCTCCTGTCTGCGAAGCAACAGCTGGACCGCACGACCACGCACAACACAAGACTCCGTCTCCGTTCCACTGAGCGCTGTCCTCGGGAGACAGAGCAAGGGGCTGCTCACCACGACCGTCATTAACTGAAGAGCAGACCAGAGGGGGCCCGCCTGCTTCCGCTCTGCAGGTGAGTGCGGTCCACAGGGCAAGCTCTGAGACGGGCAATTACTGAGATGGCCAAACTTCAGGAAAACGTGCCTATTTCCACCATTATTTTAAAATAACTGATTCCAATTACTATGCTAGTATAAATATAAAAAATATTTCCAAATAGAGGTATGACTAGTCTGGTCAAAAATGTGTCTCCACTTCATAATAATATTAATATTATTCTAACTTTCAAAAAGAAAGGAGAAAAGACAACAGAATAAACACAAATGGTGATGGATGCAGCTTCAAGAACTCCTGGACCGTGTAAGCCAGGAGCGGTGACAGACACTACAGATGAGCAGCAAGAGCATTCAAAATGGAGAGTGCCAGAAGAATCCAATTCCGGGTTCTCAGAGAACAGTGCACACTTTATTTAAATACAAATGGGTGACCCGACCGTATTTCAGAAAGGGGATAAAAGCATTCTTCACTCACCAGTGCTGGATTCTCTCTCGGCAGCTAGTGACCACCTGTCATGGAAATAGATAACTGCTCATGAGAAACAGGGCTATGCACAGAGCTACAAAATCAGCGTCACAACACGAGAGCAGTGGCTTTACAGACTCAGCAGCCCCCGGCCCACATTTGTATTTGTCACGTGCAGAGATGTCAGTGCTCGGCTTAAGCTGCACACTTTATCATAACCTCTAACGCAGGCTGATAACTGCAGAACAAATCACAGCTTTCCGGCTCACACTCGGTGCGAAACCTGCTGCATAACTATTAGATGACATATGATATAAGATAACTAGTATTTTGTACAATCTACAGACCTGTTTTCAATGTTACATATTTTGTAGAATACACAAATGTTATAAATAACAAAAAAGCCAATGTAACATCCACATTTCATCAGTTTAAAAAAATGACAGTAGTGAAACTATTTTATTTTGTCAGTATATCTCCAAATGTTTTTACCTGTAATTTTTATTCTGACACATTAAAAATGAGTTCAGTGATATTTTTCTACTACATTTTCAAAAGGAAATACTTGGGATAAAGAGATGCTCTGAACAGCCCATTTCTCCCTCAGTGACTTATGATAACATTGTCAGCATCTCATAGCCAGTTGAAACTATGTTTAGAATACTAAAACAATAAAATTAAGTACAAAACTTACTTGTTTCCCTCAGGTATTCCAGCAGATTATCACAATGCTCAGAACACCAACCAATAAAGGGGGAAGAACATTTGAATGATAATTTAAAAGTAACACTATTTCCAAAGGTTACTAACCATCTGCTTTTAAATGACCCATTAATAAATATTTTTAAACAATAATCTCAAATACTGGGGCACCACTTCAGAGACAGAGAAATTAAGGAATAAAAACCAAAAGGCTTAATACAAAGCCATGTGGGGGGAAAAAAAAAACACAGCAGAATTATCTGGGGTCTTTTGTTTTGTTTTTAATCCTCACCCAAAGACATGTTTTTATTTATTTTAGAGAGAGTGGAAGGAAAAGAGAGAAACATCAGTGTGAGAGAGAAGCATTGAGGGCAGCCTCCTGAACTCGCCCTGACCGGGAATCGAACTTGCAACCCTTCAGTGTGTGGGAAGATGATGCTCCAACCAACCAAGCCACCTGGCCAGGGCGAAGTATCTGGTTTGATGCACACTAGTCTGGTTCACTGTTCTGGATAGTGATCATTGTCTCTTGTGTAGGCTCAATGTTTTACCCAAAAGTCACAAGATGGGGTGGGGGAGGTACTGCCCCTAAATTTCTCTATTATAACATTTAATTCCTGAAAAATATGTCCTCCTTTGGGACATTTTAAATACTAAGACACCATTTCTGCACCAAAATACATGCTGTGATCAGATACCCAACCATGAGCCACCGTAACTCGCACAGAAAGTGCACTTGGAACGAAGGTCTCCCGGGAGTCTCCTCATGAGAACACTGCTGAACAGAGCCGATGCGCAGCAGCGCCCACCGCGGCAGCGCCGACCTACCCCTGGAGGGGCCAGCCTAGAGCACACCAACCCTGCCTACTCTTTCCGATTTGGCAGTCATAAAATACACAAACACAATTAGATATAAATTGAAAAAGAAAAAAAATCTTCATGAAATGCTTTTTATAAAGTTCCTATCTAACAACCCCTCAAAGATGCGGCCCCAAACCAGCGAGGAGCTTTCCCGCCCCTGCGCTGGGTCTCCAAGCACGAAGCGAGCCAGCAGCAGAGGAAGCCCTGCAAACCACAGAGCAGGGTGCTCGCTAACCTCCACACGGTAATCCTGCCGTGGCTGCACGTTAGCTAGTTACATATGCATAATCATCTACATTATTTAGAGGACCTTCGATGAAATTTTCTATGCAATATCCATTAGTGACAGTGTTAAAGGTTACAGATGATAGTCTACTTAATGTTTCCAGCAAGCCTTTTTAATTAGTAAATATGTAAACCTGGCACATATGTATTTATGTTTAAAAAACAAGTCCCTGTACAATGGCCTGTTCCTGACATCACCCCCAGGCTCTGCTACCCACTTGGTTCGAACCCACCGGCCCTGGCCCCTTCCTTCTCTTTCCTGAAATAGTTTCCCAGGAATAGATTTCAAGGATAAAACAACAATAAAAATCTACTTTATAATTTACAAGGAAATTTTCACTGCCAAAATAACTGCCTTACATTAAAGTGTCCACTAGTTCAATGTGGGGTGAGAACAGAGACTGCAGGCAGGCACCACCCAGATCACCTAGACATTTTGAGAACCAAAGGAATGAAGACGGGGGCAGAGGCGGCAGGGGCACGGCCGCCGGGGTCGGTCTGTCTGCGGCACTTTCTTTACAGGACGCAGAGCCCACGCCTTCCAAGACACGGAACCCGCTGCATTTACATTTTGAGATATCCATAGTTTTCTTCTTTTACAGCAAGTTATTCATTTTTAATTTAGTAAATTTCTACAATTTAGCTGCAAAGGAATTTTTAGAAGAAAGAAAATCTTATAATTCACACTTGAATCTACCTGGGTTAAAAACAGAAATCTCATTTTTCTGTCAAGTTAAATAATTCCAAATAATCATATTTCCTCTGAAAATAAACTCAGATTAATTCCTTTACCTATTAAATAATGTGACTATAGTGATCTGGTTCTATAAGCAACTCTTGAATAAAAACCAAAACAACAAAAAACACTTCGTTACTTTGCAGTCCTTTTTAAGTAAGATGGCTATCAAGGAACGATCCTAGTTGTTGTCGATGTTCAAGCTAAACCTGCCAAAACATGCAACTGCTACTCATAGAGAAAGAAAATCTCATTGAATCATGTCTACAAAGAGCTGCCCCAGTGACCTAACACTCGCGTCACAGCGGATGTGCGACGGGACGCGGACTGCCGTAGCAACACGAGTCCACGCTGAAGAGAAAGGGCTACGCGCTCACTTCCACCTCCACGACACATCTCTAAGGGTCTACCAACAACCCAGCAGCCAGTCACGTGGTCACTTTATAACCTGAACCTTCCCCTACCCCACGAATAAGGATAACAGAGTTTTGCCAAGACTTCAGATCATGAAACTCGAGCTGCGAACACCTCAATAAGATAGGTTAACCTCTCCGTGAAGAGAGGGACCCTGTGTCCAGCGATGACGTAACACACCCGATATTGTACAAATGCCAAGAACCGGTAAGAGAACCAGGTTGAACGCCAGGCCCACCTCATCGCAAAGCCCACACTCCCTGTGGGGACAGCTTCCGAGGGGCAGCAGCCGTCTGCCTGCTCGCTCGGACCCGGGCCGCTGCTCCCGCGTCCCCTCCACAGGCCCCGCCACACACAAACCAGGTCCTGCGGTCACGTCCTCAAAAGCAAGTAAACTCAAATCTACCAGTTCGCCAATAAAACCTCACCTCTTCCAGTGCCTCATGCACACCTGCCCTTTCAGGCCAAGCAACTAAGTACGACCAACAGCTTTCCCAAGCCCGTGTGTGCGTGCGTGTGTGTGCGTGTGCGTGCGTGTGTGTGCGTGTGCGTGCGCGCATGTGTGCGCGTGCGCGCGTGTGTGTGTGCGCGTGTGTGCGTGTGTGTGTGTGTGTTGGGGGGAGAGGGTCATGGGCTAGCCCTAAAATTACTGTCACCTCTCATCTATTTTAAGGCACTTGTAACTAATCGAGTCAGATGTCCAGGATGACAATGACACACAGCCCAGCCAACAACTGGTTTTTCTTTATGTCAGTGTCCAGCTGACACGTGCACCTTCGGTTACAAAGGGTTAGAGTAATATTTGATCAGCTTTAAAGTCAATAAAGTATATGGAATACAGAAATAATAATTCTTTTGCTCTCACCTTTTAAAAAATCACTTTATAAAGGGAGGCAGGAAGGATTCACAAGCATTGAGATCTCCCTTACTTCCATTCGTGCTATTCACTTTGGTAACAGTCCACAAGGGGGCACCAGTGTCCCACCCCCCATCCCCCCATTATCCACAGTGCCGCGTTAAAACTGGACCCGAACAGAAAGCCCAAATATAAAGGGACAGGTGCGCCTCAGTCGCCAATGGCACCTCTCTCAGAAATGCTTCTAAAACTTTTCTCCCTGTACTGCAATTTCGAATTCCCCCTCATTGGTTAATGGATAAAACCGCAATCTGAGGGTGGTACTAAGCAGAGCTGTCTAAATGCACATGGTTGGCTTCTAGACCATCATCGGGCCAGCTCGTCCAGTTTGGGGTTTTAACGCCACTGAGTTACAAAGGAAAAGGGGCAGTGGGGGCTGAGGCCAAGGGGCCCGACACGTACTGCTGTCCATCTGAGTGACAGAAAGGGCTGAAAAGTTTGCCAAGGACGGCATGTCCACTAACTAAATAGGTGTACAAATGTCGCTACGTGAGTGTATAAGAAGTGACTTCACCAACATTAGTACAACACGACAGGTCTTTGCAGTAAACTTCCTGGTAAAGAAGGGAGGAACTGACTACAGGTTCCTAACATGAAAGAAAATGCAATAAACAGTAAGAAACTACAACGAACTGAGTTTTTCTGTATAAAACTTGCAAAGAACTTTACTTTCTAAATACCCTGAAAAGCAAAAATACCAACACTGCTACCATAAGTTAACTCCAATTATATAGAGCCACTTGTTAAAACACTTAAATGTTCTTATTCACAAAATTTTTCTAGGATGGAATCAAAATGATCACTGACCTTGACATTTAGCCAGTTTTCTCCTACACAGGCTCCTAACACATTTCCCATAGTCAAACCAAGTTTCTTTTTATACAAATGCTGAACTATGTCTAACAAGCCTGTGAGGATCTTAAAAAGGAAAAACTGATTCATTAAAGACTAAGTACAGCCCAGCCAGTGTGGCTCAGTGGACTGAGCATCTCCATGGACTGAGAGGTTCTGGTTTGATTCCCAGTCAGGGCACATACCCGGGTTGCGGGCTCAATACCCAGTAGGGGGCGAGCAGGAGGCAGACAATCGATGTTTCTCTCTCACATTGATGTTTCTATCTCTCTCTCCCTCTCTCTAAAGAAACCAATAAAAGTATACTTAACAACAAAAAAAAAAGACTAAATACAAATAGCGGGACGCATCAGGGCACAGCACTTACACAGATGAAAACCAAAGACACCGAGAATTTTCTGAGCAGCAGAGAGAGGAGCAGGGAGCACGTTCAGGTCCTTCCGAGGGGCCATCAGGGTCAGAGCAAGAACTGACATCAACACAGAATAATGGAAACTGGAAACAATAAAATCTTAAAGTGCTGAAAAATGAAAGTGAAAATCTATAATTATGTACACAGCAAACAGATCCTCCAACAGGAAGGAAAAGCAAACATGCTCACACAGAAACCTGGTCCTGGCCCAGCAGAGTGTGAGCAAGCTGAAGCGCACTGCTGCCACACATGTGCGGGGGCCACCGCGTGGGCAGCTCGAACTCGCACCGTGGTGCACATCAGCTACATCTCAACGAGGCTGGGGGTGGGGGGACACTGCTGGGTTCTTTGGGGAAACCATAAGCGCAGAAAGAACTAAGAAGGTGAAGATAAATCAGTATGGGTCCCCTAAAACAATTAATAAAATGCAGTGTTCAGGACACAGAGGTGAAATGCACGCGTGATGAGCGAGCTCTGGATGGACGGACGAGCACACTGCCATCCCCAGGAAAACTCCCCTCGTAAGAAAGAAGAACAGTAAACAGAGTAGAGTACGACTACCTTTAGTGCTAACAAATACGTATATGAAGTACAGTACTAAAGTACCACAGCGAAAAAGAATGTATCTTGATCAAGTTAACAGAGGGGAGAAAGTATAACAACAAGGTATGTTTGATTAAGTCAAAGGAAGGCCCCAAAGAAGCAGAGAAAAAAGAACATGAGAGTAGGTGAAGCAGAGCCACGATGAGGTACCACGTCCCACCCACCAAGACAGCGATAAAAAATTAACACAAAGTGTTGCTGAGGAATGGAAAGATGTGAACCCTGTGTACTGCTGGTGGAAATGTAATATGTTGCAGCCACCATGGGAAAAGATCAATGGTTCCTACAAAATCAAACACAGGGTTACATGTGACCCAGCAACGCCACTTCTGGGCATGTGCCCTCAGAGGGGGACGCAGGCACTCGGACACTCGTGCACGCAAGTTCATGGCAGCATCATTCACAAGAGTCAAATGAGAGCAACCCTTGTCCATCAGTGGATAAATGAATAACAAAATGTGGTATGTACAATGGAAGAGTATTCAGCCTTTAAAAGGAAAGAAATCTGCCCTGGCCAGTTTAGCTCAGCAGTTAGTGTCAGTCCACAGACCAAAGGGTCTTGGGTTTGATTCCCGGTCAAGGGCACATACCTGGGTTGCAGGTTTGATCCCTGGCCCTGGTCAGGGTCGTGCAGGAAGCAACCAATTGATGTGTCTCTTTCACATCAATGCCCCCCCCCTCACTTCCACTCTATCTAAAAAAATTAGTGGAAAAAATATCCTCTGGCGAGGGTCAAAAACTGATAAATTTAAATAATAATAAAATAAAAGGAAAGAAATTCTAATATATTCTATAACATGAATTAACATTAAAGACATTACGTTAAGTGAAATAAGCCAGTCACAAAAGGGCAAATACTGTGTGACTCCACTTAAATAAGATATCTAGAGTAGCCAGATTCATAGAGTAGAAACAGAAGGTAAAATGGTGGTTGCCAAAGGGTAGGGGAAGGGAAAATGGGGAATTGTTAATTAATGGGTTGTTACAATTTTGCAAGGTAAAAAAAAATGTTCTGCAGATGGATGGTGGTGATGGTTGCACAACAATGTAAGTGTACTTGTAATTAATGCTACTGAAATCTACACTTCAAAATGATGAAAATGATAACTTTCATGTTTTATGTACTTTGTTACAATTTTTAAAATTAGAAAGTCAAGTAGGAAGCTGATAGAGTGAAACTGTATCAGTATTTCTGCCCCAGCCTGTTTGGCTCAGAGGGTGAAGCACTGGCCCTCGGACAAAACATGAAAATGTCCTCAGGTGAGGATAAAAAATAATAATAATAATAATGTAAAAATCAATGGAGCCCAGCTGGTGTGGCTCAGTGGACTGAGCCACCATCCCATGGCTGAGAGGTACCGGTTTGTTTCCTGGTCAGGGCACATGCCCAGGTTGTGGGCTTGATCCCCAGTAGGGAATGGGCAGGAGGCAGCTGATACATGTATTTCTCTCGCATCGATGTTTCTCTCTCTCTCCCTTCCTTTCTCTCTTAAAAAAAAAAAAAAAAAAATCAATAAAAATATTTTTTAAATAAAATAAAAATCAATGGAAAAATATCCTCGTGTGAGGATTCACCCAAATGTATTTATTAATGAAATAAATAAAATATATCAGTAATTCCATTATATACAGATCGACTAAATATCCCAGATAAAAGAAAAAGATGTCCAGGCTGAGTTTTTAAAACCATAACTACATGCTGTTTCTAAGACACACACTCTGAACACAAATAGGTTAGAGCTAAAAGATAAAGATATATCATGAAAACAAACAAAAACAAATAAGCTGATATAGCCACTCTAATATTTGACAAGGGAAACGTAAAGTCAAGAAGCATCATAAAAGATAATAAAGAAAAAAAAATTCAGAATTCCAATTGACCAGAAAGTTACTAATAGTCCTAAATTTATATGCGCTCAAATGATACAACGTCAAAATGCATAAAGCAGCCCTAACCAGTTTGGCTCAGCAGTTAGAGCATTGGCCTGCAGATCAGAGAGTCTCCGGTTCGATTTCCAGTCAGGGGCATGTACCTCAATTGTGGGTTTGATCCCCAGCCCAGGTTGGGGTTGTGCAGGTGGCGACGAATCAGTTTATTTCTCTTACACTGATATTTCTCTCTCTCTTCCACTCTATCTAAAATTTTTAAAAATCAATGGAAAAATATCCTTGGGTGAGAATTAAAACAAAAAAATGCATAAAGTAACAGTCTGAAAAATAGAGAAAAAGATAAATACACAACCACGGTAGTGATTCTAAAACACCTTTCTTCATTACTGATAGAATTAGCAAATGAAAAAATCAGCAAGAATATAAGATACTTCAACGCCACATTCACTCAACTGGGGCTAACAAACATACATGGAACTCAAAAAGCTGCAGAATCTATAATGTATCCTTTCCAAGTAAATTATGGAACACTGACCAATACAGATCATATACTAGGCTATAAGGCAAGTCTTAAATTTTGATTTTGCAAAATGCATTCTCTAACCAGAATAGAAGTAACTGTGACAACAAAAAATTGGAAAAGAAGCAATGTTTGCAAATCAAGGAATATATTTCTAAATAACTTTCAGTGCAATGAACAAATCAGAAATTAGAAAATATTTTAAACAACTGATAATAAACATACAAAACGTGTGCAGGTCCCTGGGGTAATGATTAGAGAAAAATGTAAAACTCAAAATCTTGTTTCATAAAAAGTGGTGAAAGTCGGGGACTTGCTCTTCTGCCGCAGCTTCCGTTTCAAGAAGCTAGAACAGAAAATACAGCCAACAGGACATTTTTAAAGGGAGAAAAAGATAAAAGCAGAAATCGATGAAGTAGAAAGCCAATTTACAAAGAAAAATAAAGTAAAAAATTGTTTTTTAAAAAATAATGATTAAGCCCTGGCCGGTTTGGCTCAGCGGTTACAGCGTCGGCCTGCGGTCCACAGGGACCCGGGTTCGGTTCCTGCTAAGGGCACGTACCTCAGTTGCAGTTTGTCCCCGGCCCTGGTTGGGTCATGCGGGTGGCAGCCACTCGATGTGTCCCTTTCACATCGATGTTTCTCGCTCTCTCTCTTCCTCTCTCCCTCCCACGCTATCTGAACAAAAAAAATGGAAAAATATCCTCGGGTGAGGATAAAAAAATAAATAAAAAATAATGATTAAAATTGATAAATCACTAGGAAAACAAATCAAGGGGGAGAAAACACATACAAATTGCAAATAACAGACATTAAAATGAGGACATCGTTATCAAACCTACAGATATTAAAAAGACTAACTCAAGACAAATGAATCTGAAAACTTAGATAAAATGAAAATTCGTGGAAAATCACATTATAAAACTGACACAACTAAAACTAGAAACTCTGAATAGTCCTTTAACTGACAAAGAAATTGAGTCCATATTTTAAAATACCCAAACAAGGAAAATACTAGGCTGAGACAGCTTCACTGATGAATTATTCCAAATATTTAAGTTAGAAACAATACCAATAGTATACACACGTTTTTATAAAACACACAAAAATGAGAGTTTTTTTATGGGGCCAGTATGACCCTGAAACTAAACCCTAACATGGACATCATAAGGAAAGAAAAGTACTCTCATGAAACTGTAGACCTCGAGAGTTAATGTGCCTGGTAAGGACTCCTGGTGCCTAATTGGGCTCCAATTTATAAACAGTCCGGTGGTTACTGTTAAACAGAGGCCTTTTGTGCTCTTGCACTTCTGGGAAAAGCTGCACTGAGCTGCCGTCCCTGCACTGTGCTCCTGCCGTGGGAGCTGACCCTCACACAGGAGCACATGGGCTTGCAAATCAAACAATGGGGACTGTGCATCTACATCCTTATGTGCATCTTCTCTGACCAATCATAGAAATGGACCACTCACCAATCACAGATCAGGGATTGGGGGTGGAGGCAAATAACCAGTTTCATCTCTGCTTCAACAGAGTTCACTTTAATATAAAATTTAGGCTGGCAACATATATAAAAAGGTAAACAGCCTGGGCAGGTTTTGCTAAATGGTTAGAGCATTAGCCTGCGGTCCAGAGAGACCCAGGTTCGGTTCCTGCTACGGGCACGTACCTCGGTTGCAGTTTGTCCCTGGCCCTGGTTGGGCCCTACGGGAGGCAGGCACTCGATGTGTCTCTTTCACATCAATGTTTCTCTCTCTCTCTCTTCCTCTCTCTCTTTCCCACTCTATCTGAACAAAAAATGGAAAAATATCCTCGAGTGAGGATTAAAAAAAAAGGTAAACACATAAGCAGAGCGTTTTCTCTAGGAATGCAATAGTATTTCGGTATTTTTTAAAAATCAAATTAATTCACCACATAAATATCTCAATAAACATAGAAAAAGCATTTTATAAAATTCAACATCCAGTCATGATAAAACCAGCAAACTAGGAATAAGAGAACATTTCCTTATTTTCTTTTTTAAATGTTTTTTTTTTTTCTTTTA